CAATAAAGCAAAAAAAAAGAGACTTGTCATTCAGGACTCACTTAGATTACTTTCTTCAGGTGTAGAAACTCTCCTGGATTGGGGACTCTGTCTGGACACTGACTCCAAGAGTCCCTTAGAGATCAGGGGCGTGCAATGTCTATTGTGAAATAAGCAATCTTTATCAAACTTGAATTCTCAGTCTTGACCACAGCCCAGTATGCTATATTCAATGATAAAACAAACTGAGGTTGACTCAGACTCATACTGTTGTAGCCGCCAGCCCCCGAAAGACACACGGACCACCAGAAATCAGTGCGTTATAGGAAACACACTCTTTATTCAGCTAGCTGGGTCTGCCAGGGATACACAGACCCCAAATTAAGCAGCCCCAAAATGTAGAGGTACAGGGTTTTTAAGCCCTAAATCCCATTCCTCATTCTGTCTTAAACACAAAGGTCTATTTTTCTCCTATTCACTACCTGTCAACCCACAGGTCGGGTGTGCAAGCGGGGGTACAGAAGCAGAAAGCTTATTGTTAAAATGTTATGTTCCCATGGGTGATAGCCTATGTTCCCATGGGCGATAGCCAAGAGGTAATTTTCCAGCCAGCACAATACTAATATGCAAATGGGACCCAAAAGAGCCAGCAGCCATGAGGTATTATCGTGGCTCTGCCATGAATGAACAGTGGAGCCTCAAGCAGGCCCTTAACCATTCATGGCTTCAGCTTCTTTACATTTGAAATGAGTTTGGGTTAGATCATCTGATTTCAAAGTCTCTACCAAATATCAGCCGCTATGAGTTCTCCAGGGACTGGACAAGCGAAGGAGTCTCTCAGATAGTGATTAACTGAAACAATAACCACAGATTTAGGAGCAAGAACTATGCCATTCATTGTCCAACCAAGGGACTATTGTGTATCGTACCCTGGAGAAGAAACCCATCTCTGCCACAGTATCCCATGTTTCACTCAAATTAAAATTAAAGCTCTCTTGGTCAGACTGAGCCTGAGCATAAGGGAGCAGATGGTAGTCACATCCCAACACCAGCCCAGGAAAGCTGACCCCCGGAGGCAGTCTTAGACATTGCACAGAGCATGAAGTAGTGAAAAATTGGGAGTGGAGAATAATTTGTGACGGATAAGCAGTTCCATCCTTATTGTGCTGAAATAGTTCATACACTAAAGTGGACCTGTGAAGATTTTCATTCATTTTGGAATTTTACCAGGAATTCAGTCTATAGCCCTCTGCAAAAATTCAGAACAATGTGTCAGTATTCCAAAAGCCTCAGTAGCAAGACTTGCTGGGGTATTGGCAGTATAATCCAGAGAACAGGAGGGAGCTGGGACTGTAGAGGAGTTCCACAGAGGAACTGATCGGTGGCTGGGCCATTCTCAGTGGAGGCAGGGGTCAACTGGTCAGTACTTACGTATAAATGACCTGAACATAGTTGCGAATCAAGGATTATATGCTTTGCAAAGACCTATCCAATGAGTAGGATAAAGATATTATTCCATGAGAACATTCCAGGTCAGGTGGATGGCTGTTATCTCTAGAGGATGTGGCTGTTTCAGAACATGACTCGAGCCAGCAGTGGAGAAATAAGGACTCTCAGGAGAAAGCCTGATGAAACTTAGGTAGGCAAGATGTCAAGAATCCTGATATCTTGGGTCATGTATTGAAGGTGTGAGGAAAGGGCTCCAGTCCCAACAGTGTAATTGTAGTGACAGCTAAGACCCTAGGTTTAGCAAATGGTGCAAATGGTGCATGTCTTAGGTAGAGGATGACTTCTAAGTTAGATCACAGCAGAAGATAATGTTTACTGATCCTCCTAGTACCCTGCCAGCCTCAAGGGTTCAGTTACATGGACTCGAGGAAGAATAGAAAGTGAAACTTCAGATAATCACCCACTCTGCACTCCACTTTAAGTAGTGAAATCTCAGCTAGGGTGACAGGGCATTAACTCTTAATCCCGTAGTGACCCTACTTCTATAAAGGGTGTATGTGATACCTCAGGGTAGGGTACAGATCTAAGAGATCCAGTCTACCAGTAAAATAAAATTGTAGTTCAGTACGTTCTCTTCTGAGATTGACTATGAGATTAAATAGTTCATTCATTAATTCTTTCATTATTATATTATGATTGTCTCTTTTCTACCATGAATGTTGCTAGGTACAGTAGTCCTCCTGGTTTTTCCCGATTTTACTTCCCACAGTTTCAGTTATTTGCAGACAACTGTGGTCTGAAAATATTAAACGGAGAATTCTGGAATTAAGTAATTCCTAAGTTTTAAATTGTACACTGTTCTGAGTAGTGTGATGAAATCTCACACCATCTTGCTCTGTCCCACCTGGGAAGTGAATCAACCCTTTCTCCAGTGTATCCACGCTATCTAAGCTCCTCACTCCTTGGTCGGCTCGGTTATTAAATTAGCTGTCATGGTATCACAGTTCTTGTGTTCAAGGAACCTTTATTTTACTTAATAATGGCCCCAAAGTGCAAAGAGTACTGATGCTGGCAATTTGGATATGCCATAGAGAAGCCATAAAGTACTTCCTTTAAGTCAAAGGTGAGTACAATACAATAAGATATTTTGAGAGAAAGAGAGAGAGACCATACTCACATAAATTTTATTATAGTATATTGTATAATTGTTCTATTTTATTATTAGTTATTTCTGTTGATCTTTTACTGTGCCAAATTTATAAATTAAACTTTATCATAGATATATATGTGTAGAGAAAAAACATAGTGTATATAGGGTTCAGTAGTATCCATGGTTTCAGGCATCCACTGGGGGGCTTGGAATGTATCCCGCATAAATAAAGAAGACTACTGTACTTAACCTTATCATAACCTCGCAGATGAAAAAGGCTTGTAAAAATAATAGCTACCATTTATCGAGTGCAACTTGTATGCTAGACTTCACATTAAGTGGTTCTTCCTATTTTTCAAGCCTCACAACAAAACTGTAAAACAGAAAACATTATTCCCAGTTTACATATATGGGAACAGATCTGGGTGTGTAAATAATTTGCTTGATGTCATAAAAATAATAATCAACACAGTGATATGTGCCCCACCCATTTGACCACATAGCCTCCCTTCCTTACTTTGCTACCTTATATAAATAATCATTCTGAAAATGCATGAAAAAAATCATCAAATATTTATACCTACAACACTTCTCAAAAAATAAATGAAGTCTATGCATCAAATATTTGGGGATAATTGATCATTTTAATACATAAACAGCCTACTATTGACGAAGTGAGAGCTCTTGATGAAGAGTATGCAAGCAGAACTTCTCAATCCAAAGTCTAAACTGGGACTTTCATTGGAGAAAACTGATATGACTTCATTGAAATGGACAATAAGGAAGGTAAAACGAATTTAGTGTGGGATTTAAGTGGACAAGAAACAGTGCATTCTGAATGTGTACTTCACTTCAAAGAACAAATTGTCAATCAGAGTTCAATTCCAAAAACATATGGAAGAAAGCTGAAATGCCATCTCAACAAATCTACAGAAACTGACATGTCTTTTTGAGAACAATCATCACAGCACAAATACCAGAGGATATGGGAGCATAGAAATGTAAATCTGAATGTCACAGGGACACTCATATTTTGCAAAAGTCATCTCTTAAAAACTGTCTCCTAGATGACAGAGTGATACTTGGAAAAGTGAAGGTCAAACTTCATCTCTCCATCCTGGATATTTTCAAGACCCTGGAGATTAAAAGTAGAGGTAGGCCCTGAGAGCTTTAAGAAGACTAGAGTTCTCTCCTGAGTTACCTGTCTTTAAAGCTACACAGCTCAGGGCATTCAAGGTCAAAGGAAGATGCCCAGGAATTTGCCTAAAAAGAAGCTCTTGACTAATAAAAATGTCTTCCTAGACCAGCATGTTCTGAAGACAAGTGTTGGGAAAACACTGATAACAGAAATCAGGACAAGACTAGAAAGCATGTGATTTGGGTTCTGACCATGGAACCTACACTTCCATATCTATGAGATGTTAGGCAAATTAGTCATTTTCTCTGTGCTTGTGTCCCCTACCCTTGAAATGACCTGCCAAACTCACAAAACCTCCACGAGGACCAATGAAATAAAAAATATAAGTGTGTATTCTAAAATAATACAGTTCTTATGTAAAATGGAGTTAGTATCTCTCTTCTCCCTTAAAAGTGAACTCTTCCAATTTTCCTATTTAAAAATTTTTAAACTCATTTTAGTTAGAATTATAGAAGGTCACCATCAAAAGAACCAAATATGCATATAGTTGCTCAAGATTAAAAGCAGATTCTTCTGGGAAGGAGCCCGGGAGTGAGGGGCTAGGGACTACTGCACTTTATTATTGTTCTTCAGTACCCTCGACTCTTTTTATAATGCACATTCAATTCCAATTAAACTATTTACAATAGGTAAGTATCAATTCACACCACCCCAATTTCCCTTTTTCCCAATACACTTACATCACTAATTTTTTGTTTACCAACTGACTAGCTTTTACATTTAAACACTACATTTGCTCTATTATTTTGTATTCATCAAATATTGACATTAGTTCTTAAGCAACTTTTAATATGAACCCATTACCAACCTTGCCCTTCCGTTCACTTCTCAGCCAACATCCACACTTCCACTCATAAATTCTGCAGTTTATGTTTATGTTGCCAGTATTGATGGCATTTACATTTTGTATCAACACTGTGCTAAGCATTAACTTAGAAATAGCATCCCTGAGACTCAAGTCGTTTAGCATGTCTGGATTTCCCAGGCATCAGTTAATCTCAGTAGGCATACAATTAAAAGACAAAACAAAATGGGGTGAGATTTGTGCTTGTCCTACATGGAATGTAACATTTCTTGACCAACGAGGTTGTATTACAGATGCAATATATAGGGGAAAATTAAATGCCAAAAAAATTATTTTCCCTAAGAATTTTAAGAGGGGAATGTGTGGAGTAGTGTCCAGGAACAATAAAACTCTTCGATTTTTTTCCAATCCAGGTTGCCTGCCATGAACTCTAGCCAATGATGCGAAGTGTATTAAGTAAATCAGATCTGTTCACCTACACTCTCCTGTTTGCACAGTAAGGACAGGTAAGTCACACACATCGTTTAAATGTCTTGGAAGTTGGCTCTTTCCAATCACTGTCTACTTCATCTTTACTACTGTTTGCTACTGAATTGGCACATCTAAAAACAGTCACCCTGGACTCAGTGTCAAAACCTGCTGGGGTTCTCTTGTCAGCTCTAGCTAAGGTTTTTCTAGGAAGAGCACCAATATAGAGCTATTTCCTCAGCATTTACAAATTTGTTAAGGATTAAGGTTTTCATCAGATATAATCTTAGCAAATCTATACAAGTAATTTTCAGCTGCTTCAGAATCGACAGAAGCTTTTTCACCCAGATTTTCAAATATTTTACACTATGACACTTGCTAAGTCTTTATATCTAACATTCTGATATTCATACTCACCTTCAGTGTTTATTTCTTTATGGAATAACCTGGCTGGTTTTTATGATTAGCAAGCAAGTCAGTAGCAAAAATTCACTTTATTGTATTCAAATCTTAGAAAAAGAGAGAACATTTCTTAGTGAACTGCTGTTGTGTGTGTTATTTCAAAATATTTTGAATTATATATATTTTTTTCCATTTAAATGATTAAGTGGACTGAGTGGATAATCCTGCTTTGCCTTTTTTGTTATTTCTAGCTATATATTTTTTAATGGTGGCTCTTATTTCTAGCTATATCTTTCTGGTATGTTTCTTTTGAAGAGCTCCTAAACATATCTAAGAATCCTTATGAAAGGATGAAAAACAACCAAGCCAAACAAAAAATCATGAACACACAAAGAAAAGAGAACATGAGATAATAGCATCAACATTTCGAAGCTAGAAATGAGAAGGATAAATGATTACATTTATAGCAGCCCGGAAAAAGCTGAGTCCTTGACCAATAAATAGTGGAGTAAAACCAAGGGGCAGCCCTATTCCTTCCTTAGAACCTTTAGAGGGTTTAAGAATTGGTTGCAGTGAGTACCATGGAAAGTGATTTTAAGAAAGAAAGATTAGCGGAATGTTTATTTATAAAGGAGCTAAATACTCAGACTCCCATGTTCACTCCATACAGTTGTATAAATGCTGCATTTGCATCCAGCAGAACACAGAAGTCCTTTTCTTTGGAAAGAATAAATCAGAGGGTATTTTACATACCAAGCCAAGATATGAAGCTGGGATTTCATATTAAAAACAAAGATGACTTTCTAGGGAGAGATATCTATGACTAGGAGACTACAGAATAGTTGAGAATAATTTTGCAGCAAACACACAAGAACATATACAGCCACATGAGTACTTTTGCCTATGCTGTATTCACCTTGTGGAAGCTGTACACTTCTTCCAACAAGTTTTACACATTTTGGGAAATATGGGAGAAATTAACTGTAAACTATGTTTTTTTCATCTTTATCCACCATTAATATTAATATCAGACTTTATTATAAGAAACGACAATGATTCTTTGGCAAATAAGGTTATTAATTGCACTGGATAGTGACATTTTGGTTTACAAATGGCTAATTATTACGTAAAGTAGCCAATTTTCTTGTTCGACTTACAAACAACTCAAAAGGCAATTTCAGATGAAATCGCCTGAAAATGTTCTGAGTTCTTGTTATGAATGTGTATGATGAGATTCAGACTCTAGATGACAGACCGAGCCCAGTGATTTGACAATTCTCACTAAGATGACAATAAAGGAATATAACAAGATAATCCATGATAGCCAAGAAAATAGGAATGGACTCATCACAGGACGAGGACATGGGAATAGGTCCCTCAAACAGCAAGAGGTTTCAAAAAGGTTCTGGAAGCTCTAAAGAAGAAGGTGTAATGTGGATGAAAGGGAACTGAGGGAACTGTAGCCTGGCATGTGTTTGGAGAGAGACGCCCTAAAATCAAGGAACGCTAGATTGACAGAACATTGCAGAAGCTCTAGACTTGGCAGCAAAAGGTACGACCAAAAGAAGTCTTGTGAATTGGAGCTAAAGGGAGGGGCACTACATAAATATCCATTTGTGAAACAATCAGCCACAGTCCTAATGCTCTGAACCTAGAAAAGCGAAGCCATACTTTTTATTCTCAGTCAAAACAATAAGGTGGAATAGAGAGCGTTTTGAGACTGGATAAAAACATGGACTTACAGAAGAGAGTTCTACAGATGGAACCACTTCTGGAGGCTAATGGCTACATGGTACATCTGGAGAAGCAAGGTCATGGATACCAGCATCTTCGGCCTGGTGACCATGGAAGGAGAGAGCTGTGAACTTCAAGGGACAGTGTGGCCCTGAAAGAATAGGCACCGCATGGTGAACTGTGTGGTCCAAACACTGGGGAGGTTTCTCCAGAAGTTTTCTCCCTTCTTAGACTCCCAAGACCTCTGTATAACCCTGGAGTTAAGGAAACAGAGCCCCAATAATGGCTGTGATTGAATTTACAGCCAGCCAACGCAGACAGAGGGTTGAATTTAGATATAACATGAGTTCAAGGAAATAAGTATTGACTGTGTATCTTAAGGCTAAACAACAAAAAAAGAACTGTACAGAAATATTATACTCTAGTTCGTAGGTTTGTTTTTTATAGGAATATGAATTGACTTAAGTATGATTTTAAAAAAATAACTATTGACTATGTATTCTAAGACTAAACACAAAAAGAACTATACACAAATATTATGCTCTAGTTAGTAGGTTCATTTTTCACAGGAGTAAGGTTGGCAATTTTGAAACGACTTATGTGTATTCTGGGATATAGCAAATAAGTTAATATATCATAGATAAAGAGAGCCAGGTTGCTTACTGCTGGCGAAAGGAATTATAAATTAGGAAAGAGGAAAACTCTCATGAATCCTGTGATGTTAGACTGGAATTGGGTGTATCGGTATAAACTCGTGTTTTTAGATACATATATACAGATAGATATAGAAATAGATATAACTCTGACCACTGAGAAGATGAGAAGCAATGATATCTTAGTACCAGTGAGCAGTTCCTGATTTCCAATTGTCATTCCCCGAGGCTTAAAGAAGTGGTTGATTCAAGAAGTGGGAGCGGGGAAAGTATAAGACTCCAGTTACTGGGATAGAGTTAAGTGACTTGTCAGGTTTTTAAGTTTATCATTATGTGCCTGGTCATTAGCACAGTACCTGTGTCCGGTAAAGACTCAAGAAATTTTTGTGGTTGAAATCAAAGTATTTAAAGCCATACTCAACACAAGATTTGTTTAATACCTTCATGACTGTTGATGTGATTAAATTTTCATTCTTGTTCAGGATCATGAGCAATATACAAAGACTAATTTAGCCTCTTCATGGGACCCATGTCTCTAGCTTACAAATATACCTTGGTCACCTCCCTTTTATTCTCCTCAAGAAAACAAGAGTCCCAACACTGAGGAGCATTGCACCATGAATCAGCAAGTTGGTCATCGTTAACATCGAACTCAGGCATTTTCCTATTTTATTATTTGTTGAACAACGTGTGTTTTCCCCGAGGCTATCAGAATAAGCTGCAGGAAAGCTGCCGATGTGTTTCTGAAGTGATTTTGGCAATCAATTTCCATCAGCCTTGTGTGGTTCTGCACCTATTAACACATCTCTTGAGATTCAATTTCATTCTGAACTCCATCAGTTCAAAACCACATGAATCAAATTCAACACCAAGAAATTTAATCAAAATATCCCAATTAATTTTAACTAACTTCATTCAGCTTGGCAATTCCAAGCACTGATTTTTATGCCATTCTTGCCAGAGCATACATGAACTGACTTTGCATCCATCAGATCCTTCGCTTTTTACTTCATTTACAAAGGATCTCTAAACACGTGTACCACCACACCTCCATAACTTCCACAAAATCTTTTCGATTCCTGATAATTTGAGGAGGTCAGTGTGTTGCTATGACTACCATGGTCACCTCCCCCTTGGTAGCCATGGTTCCTCTGCTATCAAATATAAAAACAGAGAAGCCAAACCGGTTTCAGGGAACTTTACAGACCACATGAAAGTAGATGAGAGTAGAAATTGTAGCTCCTCAAGTCTGACTCAGTGAGTTTACAGGGCCTTTTTCCCACATTAATATTTTCTTCCATCTCTTCCCATTTTAGCCTAACCCTCTGCCATTGTAACAATCCGCATTCCGCGATGAAAGCTCGAGCCAATATTGGACATTTTTCAGGATCATTGGCTCACGCGTGAAGGAATTCTCTCACCTTTTGAATCCCTCTCCCCCAAAGAAGAGGCCATACACTCGCATTTCCTGCCTTCCCAGTAGTAAAACTTGAACTAACCTAGGCTCCGTCGGTCAGGTGCACCTGGATGACAATGTGGTTTGAAGAAGAGCGAGGTAAGAATGCATCACAGCAAATCCACCACAAGTGACAGGCGGCATTCTGAGGAGGCAGTAGGGGACATCTGGTGTCTTTGCCTCATGTCCATCCTTGAATGCTGTGGAGTCTGTGACTTTGGCAGCAGCACTAGGGGCTCAATGAGAACAGCCAAGGAAGGCTATTTGGATACATTTTCTGCCAATATGGTCTCCAGTTATTATTTTCTAACCTTCCCAGAGATTTTGTAAGATACATAATATCCTACAAGAATTTCTTAATTTTCTTAAACTGCCTAGAGTAAGTAAATTCTGTTGTTTGTACTCTAAATCCTGACTAATACAGACCTGGTATCACCAACTCTAATAATAAATTTTCATTGAGGGACAATCTGTGTGCCAGGCACTGTTCTAGAATCTAGGTAAGTATTATCGTATGGCACTGTATAAAACAGACAGAGTTGCTGCCTAATTAAGCTTATCTTCTCATACAGAGCTAAGCAAAAGAGTATCTCTCTTTTTAGAGTTTGAGATTTGATGAGAATGAGCACTCCAGCATGTAACTCTTATACAGGTGGCATTTGCTATAGTAAGCTATGAACAGACACATTGATTTAAGAAAAGCATATCAGAGTATTTCAGGACTGGGTCATTTATTGAATCTGGTTGCTAGATTTCCTCTAGTCTGCTGTAAAGAGATGTGGTGACAATACTCTGCCTGTCCATGATGAGGTACTGCCACGTAGCAGGAAGCCACAGTGACTTATATCCTTAATTATGTCACCCTGAAACTCTTACAAGACAATCGTATACATTGTTGGCAAGTTTTGACACCAAAACTTAACATTAATGTTGTGGGTGGAATTCCTCCTTATTACCAATCAGGAGCCTCTTGCTAAATTGTTCTGAAGCTGTATAGGAATCACTAGGTATTGAGAAATCTATGTAACAGTAACCTGAATGTGGACCTGTGGATCCTTTATCTCCCATCTACTACTGGTGCATCTGGTGTCTTATCTTCTTCTCATGGGATTCTGCCATTTAATATTGTATTATTCTACCCATGAACACTGTAAACGTTTCATATGCATTGAAAACTTGATAATTTTATTCTTAGATTACATAAGTTCTATTCTACATAGTGGCTTATTAGCTGAGTGATTTTATGTATTCATTTAACTTCTTTGAGCCTTAATTTCCTCATCTATGAAATATGGATGATAATAATATGATCTATCTCATAGATAATAATATTTACTCTTGTAACGCCTAGAAGCAAACCAGGAACAAGCAATTAGATAGTTTAAGACCATCTCAGGTGGGTAAAATTTCACCAGAACATAAAAGGGCATCATCCAGATAATCTTGAGCTTTGCCCCATATTGATGTTATTACGATATGTCACAATATGTTCCTAGAATCAGTCTCCCCTTGAACTGTGGTCATGGAGTTCCCAGGTTAACATAATGAGAATAAGCACCAGTCATACTTGTGGTGATGAGATTTTTATTTTTTATTTCTCTTGTGAAGTTAACAGTCAAATCAGTAACAGGCAGTAACATGCCTCAAGTCAATACAAAGGTGTTCATTTCGATCAAGTTTGTATAATTTTCTAAGTGTGCCTTAAGAATTTCTTCATAGTACCTAGCAAGGGATCTAGCATGTATTAGGGTATCAATTAGTGTAGAATGAATGGAAAGAATACCGTCTTTAACCTAATGGAGCATACATCTAGTGTTGAAGAAAAAGTAATAAATATTAGGTAGATAGATTAGATAGATAGATAGATAGATAGATAGATAGATAGATAGACAGACAGACAGATAGATATTAGGTAGGTAGGTAGGTAGATGGATAGATAGATAGACAGACAGACAGAACCAGAAAAACCCCCTTCTCTTGAACAAATGCTATAGACCCTCCCCAACATAAACCACACATAAACCATGTTCCTTGGTTCAGACACCCCACTGTAAATAATTCATCTTAAAGGAATATTTTAACAACAAAAAAGACAAAAAGTAAATGTGTGAAGCTATTTATTGCAGCATTAATTGTGAGGAAAAAAATTTTAAATCTAGTCATAGAAAGATGATTTAAGAAATCATGGTACTATAACTCAGTGGATTTTTGTGCAAACACTAAAAATGCAAAGTACGGAGAAGCGATTTATCTTAGAAAATATTTGCGATAGACTATAAAGCAAATAAAGATGACTATAAAAGATTGGTCAGCTTGTATCCACTTAAAATAGATCTATATGCGAGCAAGGCTTGGAAAGGAACATGGGGAGAAATAATTAATGTGTTAAAGGATTTGAGGGTGCTTTTTAAAAAAAAAAAATTTCCCATGAATTTTACAGGCTACTGGTTTTGATTTTGGCCTCCAAAAGATTTCATGTTTCCTTGAGAATAGTTCCAGACCAAGGAAATCAAATTTCTCTCTGGTAAGTAAAACATAAATTTTCCCAATAAATTTAACCACAACCCCAAATGAATCAGAGGAAATTGCTCTTCTTTGGCATCGTAAGTCTTTCTGTGAAGCCCAAGGTCAAGGATGAGAAGGTACAAATATAAATCTGGAAAGAAATCCAGAAGCCTATATGTCATTTTAATGTCTTGGAGCAAAGAATACATTCTTCTAATACTTTTCTCTTCTCTCCTATAATTCCTGCTTCTTGATGGAGCAAAACATTCAGCTCATGAGATAACCCCTTCTTATTCTTCATTAGCGCATGGGTGGCTCTAATGTGGTATAACTAGAATTTCAAAGAGAAATCAGTGAGGTCTGTTGAATGCCTTGGCCCATGAAAATCTAAACGTAAGATCTCCTAGGAACAGCAAATATCTCCAACTATAAACTGATAGAAAACAGAGAAAAGGCCACAACCCTGAAGTAAGAACATATGATACAAGCTGCTTCCAGACAGAATTGGGATGTTCTGAAAATAAAATCAAGAAGGGACTTGGTAAAAGTTAGTCTTGCTACGCTTGTTTTTCCAAGTTCAAATGACTTTATGAATTACATGCCCTTCCCCGTCTAACCTTGTGACACAAGCAAAACAAGTATTTACTGAGTGTATGGTACTTTTAGAAATCCAGAAGTAGAAAGCATTTTCTTCTAAATCATTTTTTTATCTCACGGGCATGAGAGATTCACATCAGCATTAATTAGAAAACAAACCTAGACATATGTAATGAAGTACCATACATAATGGTGAAGTTACATGGTATGGGGACAGAACTTCCTCTGGAATCACAGACTTAGCTTTAAATTCTAATTCTACCACATACTAATTAAGTAACCTTAGATAAGTCATTTTAATTTCTTCGAGCTTCTGTTTCTTCTTCTGTAAAATGAGAATAACAACAATAATCAGGCCTCGTATGTGTGAGAAAAAGTTGCCTATGACAGTGAAGTTCAGATTTTAGAAATATGTCTAGAAAGGACACCTGCAGTTTTGAATTTCAGGCAGAGACAGGAGAACACAATTGCAAAAAATACTTGGCATTTCCAGAGGGTCACAATAACTGCCTTTTAAGAATAGGGGTACAGGAACTGATGAAGGGAGCATCCCTAAATCTTTAGGTCACCACAAAGAAACAGGTGATGGAAGCAGGCTCTGAGCTGGGAGCCACCCTGTAGGTGGTTATCTGTTCTCCTGGGACAAGTATAGGCTAAAAAAAATTCACTTGTATACTCAACCCAGTATCATACAACCATGGAAATCCCTGCTTTCTGGGATAAATGTAATGGCCACGCCCCGACATGAACCACGTGTAAAGAGATAGTCTACAAAAACATTACCTCATTTAAAAATTGAGTATTATCAAAAAAGAGTCGCCCTCCCCCAAATACAATATTTGCAACGTAAGAAAAAAGGAATAAAAATAACTTAGGGGGAAAAGAACACTCACCAAGAAAATATGGCCATGAAAATTATAATGGCAGATGAAAACTATAATTGAACGTAGCACCATCAAAATGAATCAAACAACTAAGTATCCCTTTAAAACAGTGGGTATGAAGTAATGCAAGACAAGTGAGTTCTAGAGCTCTGTGGTGCAACATTGAGCCTACGGTTCACACTACTGTATTGTACTCTTAAAAATCTGTTCAGAGGGTAGTTGTAATCGTGACTGTGTAGAAACAACATGATTAGCAAAAACTGGGAAGGAGCAAAGATGTTGGGATTTCATGTAAGAACTCTGAGTTCCTCCTATTACATAGCTGAGTATTTTAGTAATAATAATAAAAATATGTTTTAAAACCAGATGACAGATTATGAAAAAAAAAGTTTAAAATATTTTGAAAGACCCTTAATGAGAACTCTGTAAGATCTACATGAAGAAACTTGAAAACAGTCCTACAGGACATACACATCTGAAAAATGGAAACCAAGGAAAAATATAGTGTATTCTCAGATATAAAGATACAGTGTGAAAATTATGTTCATCCATTCCAACGTAGTATATAAATTTAATGCACTTCAGCTGAGAATTTATGAATTTGATGTTACCATAAATTTCAAATAGGCATTCTGGTTCTAAATCTATATGCAAAGACATATTTTCAGTATATTCTGAAAATAAAGAGTAATGAAGTAGATATTACTCTAATCAGACAGTGTGATATTTTATAAAAGTTCCAAGAATTATATATAATATTATATTGTCACATAAATTGTAAAAATATTAGAACAAAATAGAGAACAGAATTAATACATATTAAACCCTGATACATACATGATACGGGTGGCTTTATATTCAAATTGAGAAAATATGGATTATTCAATTAGTGAGATAAGTATAACTGGGTAGCCCTATTGGGGAAAAACACAAAATTATGTTTGATTCCCACTTCATTCTTCACAAGAAAGTAGATTTCAAAAAGAGATATTATTAAAATACATTATAAAATCATAAAAGTTCTAGAGGAAAGTAATTTTTGAAATTTTAGAAGTAGCTTTTAAAAATAATTTATGCACAATAAACATCTTTCTAAGTATGACAAATTCCAGAGGCCATAAAGGGAAACAATCGACAATTTTCATTAATATTTTTTAAATTCTTCATGAAGAAGAAAAGGAAGCTTGAATAAAAGAAATTGTGACTGGCATTTAACCGTGTAAAAAGATGCGTATTCCCATTATGATGAGATGTGCAAACATCTCTATGTAAGGAGATACCACTCCCTAAATATCAGATTGGCAAAACATTCAAAAAATAATAACATAATGCTTTGACTAGTGCATTTGTAGTAAGAGTACAAGTTCACATATGCTTTATGAACAGTAACTTGGAGATATCTATGAAATATAAAAATGTACATCCAGCAATTCCACTCGTAGTAGCAAAAAGTTAGGCAGCAACCTAAATTTCTATCAGTAGGGAATTTGTTAAGTAAGTTATAGTGCAGCTAATAGCAATGAAATAATATGCAGCCAACAAATGAATGAGAAATTATTCTATCTACAAATATGGAATAAATCTCCAAGATATATGGTTAAGCAATAAAAACGAGGTACAATGTGTATGCAGTAACGTAGTATGATTCTATCTGTGTGTGTGTGTGCGCGCGCACACGTGTATTTGAATTTACATTCGAAAACTCACATATTATCCCAGGATAAATACACAAGAAACTAATATCAGTGTGTATCTCTGGAGAGGGGAGATTGGAGTCTGGGGGAGAGAAATAGGAAAAAGAGCTACATTTTGTGCCTCTGCTTCTTGATTCTGCTAAATTTTGTATTATCTGGTCCAAAAAAATGATTCCTTAAACTATTGCTTCAAGAAATTGAGACTAGACCAGAGAGGGAGGGATAGGAAGTTTCATTTTTTTATTGTAAGCTCACTTCTGTATTATTTGATTTAATGTGTGTTATTTTTATCTTGGTTAAAAAATTAAGCATAAAAATAATTTTAAACACTCCGTTCTATTTAAAATACTTGATCCCACTATTCGGCTGTTTGTGCCAATTTCAGAGTAGAAAATATGTCGCTGTAGCTATAATAGAGACAAAATGTTCAGCGTATTATGGGAACACAGAAGAGATTAATTAATTCAGCAGTCAGATGGATCGCTGTCAGGAAACTCGGAGATGGAAAGTGAGGTGAAACTGGCTCTTAGGTTCAATTCCCCAGACACGCACCTGTGCAAAAGCCTTTTCGGCATGGGGTACAGCATGAACAAAAGCATGGAGGTGCACAGAACATGCCATGTTTGGAAAGAGATCTGGTGGGGTGTGAGGGTAGGATGGCGCTGGAGGGATGGATAGACATCAGCTGGAAATGAGGAGTTGGAAGGGATACTACAAAGGGCCTTGAATTCCGTAATAAGAAATGCTGACTTTCTTCAATACATCAGTGGATCCTAAACCTAAGTGGTTATTGGAATTAACTGGGGGAACTCTGTAAAAATACAAATCCCAGACCCCTTCCCCACGTTAATTTTATCTCGCACTCTGATGGATAGACCTGGGAATCTGTAATTGAAAACTAAAATCCCACCGCTTCAGCCATAGACAGAGGGGAATCATCAGAATTCCATTTATGGGGTTTATGAGCACCACTCGTGTGCAAGGGGAGAGAGACGGAACCAAACGTCCCTTGAGAAGGTTGTTAAGAATTAATCATATGTATAGTCTCCCTTCCTGTACCTGTCAGGCTGAAAATGAAGATCTCTGTCCAGGTACTTAAAATTCTGAACTCATTCTTGCCCGGGCTGTGCTGAAGACCGGGCAAGAACAGACTGGGAAGAAAATGAGAGAAGAGGAATGGGAGCTCTTTAACCTGCTACCATTTTTGGCCCCGCCCCTCCCTCCAAACATTCTCATTATGTCCATGCTGTGAATATATAGTCAGAAAGAACATGAATGACACAGGACAAACAAGCACGTTTATTAAGGTTTTCCTTAGAAGCAAGGACTCTTTGCATGTTAAAAAAAAAAAAA